TGAAGAAGTACGACAGACCGATACCGATCGCAAGCATCGCCCACATGAGTGACCAGAAGTTGCTGTCGCTTCGGATCTGGTCAGGTGAGTTCAGGGGATTGAACACCACAATGACTTTGGCAAAGAGGTATGCCTGCAACGGGGTACCGGCCGCAGCACACGCCGCGAAGACGACTGTGAGGATGCAGAGATACCAACGGCTCCGCTGCTCGTACAGCAACCGACCGAAACTCTGGAAAAGGTTGCGATTCACAGCCTCGGACTTTTGACGTGTACCACTGGCCTCAGACATTGCGGCGCTCTTCTCTCGGCCAAGATACTCGCCGAGGTCTTCCTCCTTCGGGTTCTCATCATCGCTGGCTTCCGTTTGGTCTCCGAGGGAAAGTTGTTGGGCATGAACGAGGCCGTAGTAAACACCCTCATCGTCCTCGAGGAGGCTCTCGTGGGTGCCTTGTTCAACCACCTTGCCCTTCTTCAAAACAATGATTCGATCGGCCTTTTTGATAGTGGAAAGTCGATGGGCAATGGTGATTGTCGTACGGTTCTGGGAGACCTTGTCGAGAGCAGCTTGGACGATTCTCTCGCCGCGGACGTCAATGGCGCTGGTGGCTTCGTCTAGGATCACGATCTTTGGCTTTCTGACAATGCTCCGAGCAATGGCAATGCGCTGACGCTGTCCGCCGGAAAGCTTTGCGCCACTGTCGCCAACAAAAGTGTCATATCCCTAGAGGCTCACGATTAGTTTGCGTTTGCAGAACCAGGACTAGGTGAATGCTTACATCCGGTAGACGGTCGATGAATTCGTCAGCGAACGATTCCTGACAAGCTTCCTTGACAAGAGCTCTCTTCTTATCCTCGGATTCGTCTTCCCACTGTGAGCCAATCAATCCGTAGGCGACATTCTTGAAGATTGTATCGTTGAAAAGGAAAGGCTCTTGTTGAACAAGACCAATCTGTGATCGCCACCATTTGAGGTCGATATCGTCGAGGGCATGACCGGAAGTAGAAACAGAGCCTTTAAGCTCTATGGAGGGTCCGGTTTCCTCGGGCTCTGGCTTTTCCTCATCGTCAGTGTCATCCGCCCGATTCTTCTTGCTCTTCTTCTTCTTTTTCTTCTGGGCTTCTTTCATCTTGTCCTTCTCGATCGTCTTGGCGATGATGTACTGATCTTGCAGGGTATACCATCTTTCAATCAGGCCTACAATTGTGCTCTTGCCGGATCCAGAGGGGCCAACAATAGCCGTGACCTTGCCCGCCTCGATAGTCAGGTCCAAGTCGTCAAGAACTTTGACGTGTGGCCGGCTGGGGTACGCAAAGGTGACTCCCTTGAATTCGATGTTCTGGTTGGCGGATACTTCAGGCTCCTTCAGCTCCCCCGTCTTTGGACGAGGAGCATCAATGACAGTCAGGAACTCGCATGCCGCGACCATTGCCTTGCTGATGGCGAGCAAAGGAGTGCTGATACGCTCGAGGGACATGACAGTAAGCATGACTGACATGAGGACACTGTCTCGTAGGTTAGGTCGTGATTCAAGGTTTTGTGTAGCTCGGCGTTTCTTACATGATGACTTCGCCGACATTGTCAACTCTTCCGTCAACCCAAGAGTGTGTACCGTACCAGAATGCCAGTCCGAATGTACCGAAGAGAGCGAAGAACTACGGTGGATTAGAACAAATTGCCATTCCAGACCACGGAAGAGAGTGTGAACTTACAATCATGCCGAACTGGAGAGCCATCAAAGGCGCCGTAGCTTGGCCCTTCTGACGAGCAACGTTGACCCAACGAGCATACCGAGCAGCGATGCGATCTTCCGCACCACAGGCAGCAACCATACGAATGCTTGAGAACGCCTCGCTAGCGACAGCAGAAGCTTTGCCTTCCGCCCGGGTTACTTGACTGTGGCCCTTGATGATGAAAGGCAACAGAACACCCAAGACCAGGAGAATGAAGAGAATGACCGACGCAGTCACAAGAGTCAGGGACCAGTTGTAAGTGAAAGCCACGATGATGGCAGTCCAAATTGTGCCATTAAACTCGAGGAAGACGCCGAGCTTTTCCGAAATACCAATCTGGAGTGTATTCGCGGTAGATGTGATAGTGCCGGCAGCGGCTCCGGCTGGCATCGAATCGAGTACGTGAATGGTCTGGCCGAAAAGACGTTGGAGATAGTGCAGGCGAATAGCAGAAGACAGCCGGATGCCAATCATCCTAAATGCAAACTTGTTGACATAGTTGAGGGCGAATCGAGCCAGGAAGAGAATAAAGAGGTAAAGGGCTTGTTTGTCGGCAATCTTCTTGAAGTCGTCTGGAGATACCGAGCCGTCTCCAGAAGTGAACCCGTTGAATTGGTTTACGAGTTGGCCGAAGATGACTGCGCATGTAAGTCAGATAGTCAGTCGCTACGAACAATATTTTGTTTCCTTACTGTTCATCAATGGTAACGTGGTACCGGCGGCGATGGAAGCGATGCCGGCCGCAAAGTACGCAAAGATGTCCCATTTCGTTGCGTACGTGAACACGCGCAAGTAGTCCTTGAATGTGGGTTCTCGTTCAGGCTTGATCTTGGTTTCGGGGGCAGGCGCATCGTCCTTGCTTGAAGTCGACTGCACCGCATCCTTTTTGTCGTCGAAGACGCCTGTTGCCACTGGAGGCAGTGCGTCAGACGGCGCCGTACCCGTCTCGATATTATGCATGCTGAAGTTTTTGTCTCCAGAGGATTAGACTCAAAAAGACATAGTTAGTCGGTCGTTAAATGGAAAAGAAGCCCACATTCAATGATGGTTTGGCTTGGTGGTGGGAAAAAAAGATAGAAAGAACCCAATCAGAATGTTCTCTTGGGTTTCGTGAACATGAAGAGGAAAGGGTAGAAGTCGAGCAGACTGGGTTGGTCCTAAACGTGTTTATACATCTGTATTTGAGAGAGAATACACGTAGCCAAAAGGGAGTGATGGAAGCCTCAAGAGGGGACGACTAGACGTCGAACCCCAAAAGAAGCGGATTCCTAGTCTATTACATCTCGTCGTAAAAAAATGGCCTTCTATCCAGGCGTGGACTTTTACGAGACGTGCAGCAGCGCCCTCGAAGCAACCTTGACCCGACTCCTAGTATTACGGCACGTAGGGGTGCCAACCGGGGGACTCCAAGTTCAACGGACGGTAGGTGGGTCAGCATAGACCCACTTCGGATCGATAATCATCCCGCTTAGGAATGGTGGGAGCTGAAGCACGAGCCATCGTCTGCCCTACCACCAACATCCTGCGAGTCTAATTGAGGTACCTGTTTGTGAGGTCCTTTTTGGGGGAATTGGAAGTGTCTAGGCAGCCTGGCTGCTCGCATTTTCTGACATGTTCAGGTGACGGAGCCAAGACTTGCTCTCTTGCTGCAAATCAAAACGGGTGGACGCCACGAGAGAAGGGTCAGAAGGCTTCGTGGTACTGTGACCATATTGGACATTGGATGAACTTAGGACGATGCCGGCTGGCATTTTGGTATTTAGGTCGCAAAAACAAACCTCCCGGCTCCCGCTTCTGACGGACCGCCAGGGTACCGAATACGCGGATCAGTGCTTGCTGGGTACCTATCAACCAACGAGGCCGTTCTGATTGCGAAGATCAAACTTACAACAATAAGCGTACCCAAGTGTGTCTTGCAGTCAAACCAGTCTGCAGCCAATAACAGCTCGTGTCGTAAAGGGCCAAAAGGGGGTTAGCGTACCTTGTTTACGGTGCTGGGCGTTGTTCTCATCGTTTGTCAGTGTCGTCCCACTTTTTAGCGCCGGGCAACTGTTTTACGATATTTACGGGCCGTGCATCTTCACACATCACCATGCCATCGAAACTTGGCCATCCGCATTTCATTTTTCTACTTCAGCGTGGCTGACAAGAGGGGCATTATCATCATCATTCACTTAATCTCGCCAAACGATTCGTTTGCGGTAGCTTCCAGTGGATTGACCAACTGAACAGGTGGCGCTTTGCGTACGCCACAACCTTCGTCATCCCAGACACTTCCTACACATATTCTCCATCTTCATACCATTGCGGAGTTTCTGCCTGCTGCTGCCTGCTAGAAACCAAACTCCGACTGTCTGCGCATTGGGTTTTCGCCAAATTTCATTGGACTGCGCTTGTACTACGGTCCGCTGGAGTTCTCTCTCACTTAGAGGTAGGGGGCCACTCAGAGACAATGTGGTCAGTCCTTTGTCATGTCACTGCGAAACGGGGCATCATCGGATTCGGACTCTATGTAGGAACCCGACAGCAGCTAAATTGTGCTTCCGCGGCAATTCTCCGCAGAACCGAAGCGACAAGAAAATATTGGCTCGGAAGGCTATCTAGAATCCTGGTTCGATCACTTGGACAGGACTACATGCTTAAGATTCGAGATAGAGTTGAAACTTGCAACATCGAGGCTTGTCGACTGTTACATCCAGCTTTTATCCCTCCATCATTCAGGTATATTAGAGGAACTGATTCTCGTCATCATTTCAATGCCCTGATTGGGTCGCACATCCATGGCCAAATCTCACTCGGTGACCAGCTGTCAAAAATGCTGAAGTTGCAACTTGATGGTGATTATGGCCGTAATTCAAAAACCAACAAGGCTGTCAAGTTGGATCAGCACGTCTGTTGCGATGTATACCTGCCAAATACTCACATTGTTAAGATATGCATTACCTTGATCTTTCTTACAGTGAACGGTGTGACTATGGACTGTTGCAATGTAAGTCGTGGAGTAGCGCAGATTCGACTAGAATCGGATCGTTGAAGTAACTCACGGATCATTCTTTTAAAAAATTGGGGTCTATCACGCGGCTCATACCATAGAAAAGGTCGATTTGTTGCTCTCGGTGACATAGCGGCACCAGTCCAGTCAGCCTCGCTGAGCAGGGATCTGCCACCTCTCACACGGTACGTCATTGGATGGCGCAAAGGGAGTGTATCCCCGTCGAGTCACAGCCTTGCAGCCATTTTTCGACCTCACAAACCCCGTCCCTCCCCCAAAACCCGTCGCAAGTGCATACGGCCCCTCCAAAACTTGCGATTGAGTCACCTACCCAACCACGTTTACCCGGCGCCGCTTTTTTTGTCCCTTTTGAAGTCGGTACCCCCTCCGCGCAACAAGCGCCCGAGATCTCGGAAGCCAGGTGAATGCAGATCCAGGTGAAGATTTTCTCGAGGTCCGCCCGACCGGCCTACCGACTGACTTTTCTTTCTCCAAGCCCAATTACATCCCCTCTTTTGCTTAGAACCCGCATCAGGCCCAGCAGTAGCAGCCGCGCGTTTTCCACGTCCAAGTCTTCGTCGTCGTCTCGTAACCAAAGCGATAGTCACGAACCACAACTGCCCAACATGGCGCCGAAATCAAAGTTTGAGCTCAAGACCCCAAAGGGCACCAAGGATTGTCAGTCCATATTTACTCTTGCGACCCGGGACGGCATCGTACGACGGAACGCGCCGCGGACTAACACAATGTTTGCTTCAAAGGGTTCGGCAAGGACATGCTCATCCGCGAGAAGATCTTCTCGCAGCTGAAGGGTGTCTTCCAGAAGCACGGTGGCATGGAGCTTGATACCCCCGTATTCGAGTTGAAGGAGATTCTGTCAGGCAAAGTACGACATTTCTCCGTGTTTACCCCTCCCCCCACCTGCGAGAACCCCGCGATCCACTTCGGGCCCTCGACTCAACAACAAGATGCCATATGCTGACCAACACCCTCTTTTATAGTATGGCGAAGACTCGAAGCTCATCTACGACCTGGCCGATCAGGGTGGTGAAATTACCTCCCTGCGATACGATTTGACCGTTCCCTTTGCGAGATGGCTCGCCATGAACAAGGACATTCAGAGCGTCAAGCGCTACCACATCTCAAAGGTCTACCGCCGGTACGATTCACGACATCATCTTTCTATTATATAGTCGGCAGCTGGCTGACATACTCTTCACAGTGACCAGCCTGCCATGAACAAGGGCCGCATGCGTGAGTTCTATCAGTGCGATTTCGACATCGCCGGAACCTACGACTCCATGATCCCCGACGCCGAGATCATCAAGATTGTCGTCGAGGTCTTTGAAGGCCTGGGCTGGAACGGAAATTACACGATCAAGCTCAACCACCGCAAGATCCTCGACGGTATCTTTGAGGTCTGCGGCGTCCCCGAGGACAAGATCCGGACGATATCCTCGGCCGTCGACAAGCTCGACAAGCTCCCCTGGGCCGACGTGCGCAAGGAGATGACCGAGGAGAAGGGCTTGGACGGCGAGGTGGCCGACAGGATTGGTGAGTGGGTTGTCCAGAAGGGTAAGCAGGACCTGCTCCGGAAACTGCAGCGCGACGACAAGCTCGCCGCCAACGCCTCGATGAAGGCCGGCATGGCCGATCTCGAGCTCCTCTTCACCTACTTAGAGGCCTTTGGCGCTCTCGACAGAGTATCGTTCGACCTCTCCCTCGCCCGTGGCCTGGACTATTACACTGGCCTCATCTACGAGGTCGTGACGGAAGGTTCCGCACCGGCCGTTACCCCTGATGCAGACGGCAAGACGGCGAAACCCAAGAAGAAGAGCAAGGGCAAGGACGACGATGACCGCTCCGACGACCCTAGCGTTGGTGTCGGCAGTGTCGCAGCCGGAGGACGGTAAGGAGAAAACTATATTGTTCTGGGTCACAGTTCTCAGGCCGCTAACAAACGATGGCAGCTATGACAACCTCGTGGGCATGTTCTCTGGCAAGACGCAAATTCCGTGCGTTGGTGTAAGTGATTCTCCTCGTCAGAGCGCAGGATTCAAAGAGAGATCGCGTGGAATATTGACAGGTAGTCTAGGTCTCCTTCGGTATCGAGAGAATCTTTAGCATTACCAAGGCCCGGATGCAGGCCGAGAGCGAGGCGCCGCAAAGTACGGTCGACGTCTTCGTCATGTCCCTGGGCTCCAAGGCCGGTCTGATCAAGGAGAGACTCGAGGTGTGCTCGAAGCTGTGGGACGCCGGTGTCAAGGTAAGGATCACACAACAAGTTCCACACAAAGGGCACTCGAGTCGGGTGTCCGAAGAAAGTAGCAAATCGCTGACACTTATTCTCTTTTTCTTTAGGCCGAGTTCCTCTACAAGGTCAAGCCCAAGCTGCCACCGCAGTTCAAGGCAGCCGAGTCCAACGCCACTCCCTTCGCCATCATCCTCGGCGACGACGAGGTCCAAAAGGGCGTCGTCCGCATCAAGGAGCTGGGCCTGCCCGAGGGTCACCCCCAAAAGGACGGCGAGCTCGTCGACATGGCGTCGCTGGTGCCCGAGGTGCAGAAGCGCCTGTCGCGGAAGCGCGAGCTCGATAACCTCGCCACGCGCGCCGAGGGCCTGCGCGTCGTGGGCGGCATGAAGGGCGAGGACATCAAGTCCACCACGGAGAAGGAGAAGGAAAAGGAGACGGTCGTCGAGACGCCTGCTGCTGGTGCTGCTGCCGAGGCGCCTGTCGCTGCTGTCTCGGAAGGGGAGAAGCCCGCTGAGGAGGCGGCGGCGGCGACGACGGAAGCTACGGAGGAGAGCAAGCCCGCAGCACCGAGCGCATAGAGTTCGGTGCGGTGGTGCGAAGATCTTTAGAAGCAGAAGCACAAAAAAAGCATTTGAAAATAGAAACGGCCGTCCACTGTTAAGGCGACGATGATTTGCATTCATTACCTTGAGGTATCTATCTATGTACCTACTCAAAGCCCGAATTGTGATCTTCTAGTCGATTTCTGACCACCATGGTCGCGCAGTACGGCCGAGCAGTCTTACAAGTCAAACTATCTAGACCATACGTTATAAGTTGTCCGCGGCCAGCGACTCTTGTATCTCGCGATCGGACCTATATCAGGTAGCGCATAGAAACAAGCCAGATCGACAGGGTCAGAATTTAGAAACCCCCCTCCCCATCGAGTTTATCGTTACAGGTTGGCGTGGATCATTTCTAAAACCACCACGTGGGGGAGTGGGAGAGAAACAACGAAGTAGCGTATGCAGCACAAGTAGGTAGTCAGAGCAATGGCCTTTCTTCCCACCATGTTACTTCACAAAGAAACGTGAGAGCTCAAAACAGAACGCCCCTAGCGGGTTGCAACGGCGGGTTCGTCGGGCACCCGGCCACACGCAAGAAAAAGCTTGGTTCCGTCGCACCATGAAGGATTTAGTGCTAAACTCAATGCGCGGAGGGACTTGTACTTCGTACGTGAACTTGGGTCGGCTAGTCTTGGTCTACCCAGCTATTCGTACGCTGTTTGATCAGCTCGAGAGCTCGAGGATTCAGATGGCCTGATGTAGGACATCACATCTCTCCTTGTAGCTCCGTCGATCATCGACAGGTGGTAGACAACCCCGGATCTCTATACTGCCCAAAGTTAGTGTATCCCTAGGGACGACAGAGACAGAGAGAAGATTTGGGGTCGGCAGGGCATGAAGAAAAGACGCCCGCGACACGCGACTGAGGCCATTCGCAGATGCCCGCGCTCAAGTGAGGCGCAAGCATAACCAAACAGACATCGTGCCTTCTTTCTCCTTCCGTCTCTCTGCTTTTCAAGCCGACCCGCGCGCTGGTTCCTCGACCCCTCACCGCTGGCCCTGGAGCCTGGACTCGACGATAAGCAGTCGGGTGGGGGTTTCAAGGAGACCAAGGCGCACAACCCCGCTGACATCGTGATAGGGCGAGCAGGGCTCGAGTCAAAGTTGACAGGGCCTCTGACCAGAGCCTGTCCAGAGGTGACAGGGTCAGAGAGGAACCCGGGAAAAGCTTTGCGGAACACCGATATTGAGAATTTGAGCGCATTTGTTGCACGGAAGAATGGATCGAAAGCTGCACGAGTCGGTCGATTGACGGTTGGGAAATGGCACTTGTGGTGTGGTTTCCGTCCGCTACTGCAGGAGGGACCGGGCCTAGGTGCAGCACAACGTTCGTCTGAATTTTTAAGGTATTTTGCTTCTTTGGAAGAAATTCGTGCCTGTCCGTTGTGCATGGCTGGTTCCATGTTTCCATAGCCATCCCGCGTTGTCGTTCTTGTTAGGGTATCAACCGCAAGAAACATGTGGCGAGTGTCGCACTTGTCAGTATTACCCGACGAGACTTCGTCACCTTTGTTATGCTCACAGCTTGTTGCATTGCATTCAGCTTCAAACGAATGACACCTACACAAAACCTGTCTTCGACGAGTCTTCAAACTTGGAAGGGCGAATCAGACTACTGTTTGATTTTGCGGTGAGAACCAGATGTGTATAAGCACGGACGTCCATTGTGCTGCTGCAGCACCACGGTTGCAAGCGTGATAAGGGATTGGAGGTGCATGCCGTCTGGAGTCCTTGGAGATCTGTGCGGATGTCCACAACGTGGTGGTGATGGGAAGAGGAATTGGGGGGACCTCGTAGGCGAGCGGGGGAGATGGGAATGTTTCGTTTCAGTCCCAATTTTTGATGGCTCCGAGTCCGTGAGCCTTGAGCCAGCGCTGAGGCCTCGTCCTTGGGATCAAGTTTGCTCCTAGGCATAACGACCGTCGTTCTCTGGCGTCTGGCTCGCCCCTGAAATCGCAGCGACGAGGACGAGCACAAACTATCTGGATTGTATGCACCGCGTCGGATTTGTCGAGGAGGGCGACGCGAGATTAGAGGCGCCAAGACACCTGAGGATACTTTCTGTCGATTTTGTATCCTTTTCACTCTCACGCGTAAGGGTTTGGGCTTGTTTGATGCGGCGAGCTTGACCCATTGTATTGCTTTTCCTCGTCCGCATCGGCCACTTCCTCTGCGTTGGCACTTCGTGTTTGCTTTTCCTTCCAAGTCCCGGTGGCGGTGGAAGAGGTTTTCTGCCACTTGTATCCGTTTCGTTCACCGTTCTTGTGGTCTGGACGGGCATCAAGGCAATCGTGAGAATATGAAGCAGTGGTGGTAGACCGGCAGCTTGACTTTTCATTGGAATATTCTGCCCACCGAAAGACCCTCGATGATGGAATGGATAGGCTGACCATGGCGCTGGCACATGTGCCCGACGTGGATATCCGTACGGAGCACCGTATATTGAGGTTACCACGTTATTGGGACCGACGGGCGGTGCTGCTGGCGGACCGCGGCAGGGCCCCAGGGGGCGTATTGCGGTACATGTCGGCGGAGATTCATTCGCTGGCGTGTCATATTGCATACTTTTCTGCATTACTCGAGTGCCGGCCCCGAATAGGTGAAGGAGGTCCAAGTGCACAAGGAGTAGGAGAGGGGGATCGTAGGTTAGCCAGGTTCTTGGACCACAGTTCCCAAGGAACGGTTCGAAAGTCGGAAGCCCATGGTTGGTGGCATGGAGAGAGTTGCAGGGCCACAGCTGCGCGTTATGAACGCGGAAGTGGGTGTGATGCTGTCACTTGTCATGAACCTGGACAAGAAGAGGAGTTCCTGAGAACAGGGCGGGCCAAAACATCGCGTTGCTTGTGGACATGATGTTCAATGAGGTGCAATGAAAAGCCGTAGACGCGAGAGGAGGTTACGAGGATGGCGACAGGGGAGGCAGGGGGGAAAGAAGCATGGAAAATGACAGCAACCCAAGGAAGGGAACGACGATGGAGATCTGATGCAGGGGACGGTGCCTTACGTGGAGCATCTTGGGAGCCTCTTGCCTTCTTTGAGACTTGCAACACTGGGTACGTATTCGTACGGACAGGTTTGGGAGGGAAAGACCCGTTGTTCGGTTGTCGGTTCGTGGCTTCCGGTGCAGGGCAGCAGGTCGCCCAGTCACCAGTCCACCACGCCCAGGAAGGGAAGGCAGGCACGACGGAAAGTCCCTGGCTGTGCAGGTACGTCTCGACTCCCGCTTCCCAGTGGAAGGAAGCACAGGTTCCCAAATCACAATTCCCAGATCCCAGGGTGAGGGCAATGAGGCTCCCCTCTCTTCATCTCGTCACCCCTCAAAGCCTCAAAGCCTCAAACCAACCCCAGCAAGACCCCAACAGCAAACACGGCGCAATCGACGGCCAACCGGGGAACTGGAAATCAACTACAATTGGAAGGTCTGGAAGGTCCACGGCCAAATTAAACCGTTGGCTGATTGAGTTATCCCACGGTGGATTCGGTTTTGATGGCCGTTGGTTTTTTGCTTTGCTTCTACGGAGTACGGATACCCGATACACTACGAAAAGAGAAAGGCATTGCGAGCTTTTCTCCCCATTCTCCTCGGGTTGCTTTCTTTTTCTCTTCCCTTTCGAGCAAGGGTTTCGTGTGTCTTCCAACCGTCTTGCATCATGCTCCACCAACAGCTGGCCAGCCGTCAAGAATCCGCGCTATGTGCATGAGTCTTCCCTTTGATCTCGACGTTTGGACTTCCGGTTCGTTGCTACCTACTCAAGTGTCGAACTCTCTTCCTTGCTGACAAGACACAGGCGGCGTTTCTCCAATGTGTCGTGAGCCGTGACTCGGAGTCTAGAGTCTTAATCAGCATCACCTCCCTTCGCAAATGACATCTAATAGTCGACCGGCGTGCGAATCATCTCCGTCCATCCCGTGCAATCCACAACGGGACCGCGCATCGCCCGTCTCCCCCCATCGCAATTCCCAGACCTGACACTGACAGAAGCCCATCCCTGCTTCATCATCGCATCTAATTACTTATCGCGTGTAGAACACGCTACGGCGCTCTCGGGATGCAATTAATAGCTTCAGGTACGGGCACTTCTGCTTCATACGCTCAAGTCCCACAAACTTCGATGGCTTCGACCGCCCCGTCTTCGTCTTGGATCTTTTCCTCGTAGGCTCGTACGGATACCTAGCGTGTCCGGTCCACGGGCTATCGGACTAGGGCGCTGCTGCGAGGTGGGAACTATTCGCACCTTGCAGATTGCACAGGGCGAGTTTCTCACAACTCTACCCGAGCAACCCAAGCTATCTCAAGCCATCCCAAGCCATCCCACGCACCAAGCAACGCCTCGCAGCACATAGCGTATCCACGCGAGGGCCGAGAGAACCATTTATGATTTGCTGAAATCTTGCCCCAAGGTTGCCCCAAGGTTGCCCCAAGGTACACGGCTGCGCAGCACAACGCGTAGCCAGGTACGCAAACTACTATGGGCAGAGTTACATCTGTACGCAAGAGACTTGCATTGGGGGTGGGTTCAACACCATGGGCAGCACCAACGACAAGCAGGGTTAGAGGCAAGGGTCGACAGGAAAATCCACGCCGGTGCCAGGGGAACACACCACAGCGAGATGGAGCTCGATATGCAGGTCCTCGAAGGAGACGAGAAAATCTCATTGCGCAGGCCACTCACGCCTGAAGCTTGTTCCCCCTTTCTCCCTAGTCCAACGTCGATGCGCAAACACCCTGCCCAGGCCCCAAACCAAACTCGAAAAGTGCTCGAGCTCTGCTCTGCCAGACTGTGGACGGTATCCGTACGGATCCCCAAATCAAGTGCTTGAGGGGTCCCGAAATCACATCCCCTGGATGCAATCCATGACTCCATGAGGTACTTGAACACGGCCCATCCCCCCAGGCCCAAAGGGTCTCTGCTTTTGGTTTTCGAGAATCTTTCCTGTGATCGATCCCCAGCCTCTTCCGTCGTTTCTTCTTGTGTTTCTCCCATCGTCTCGGCTGCCCACCCACTCACTCACTGCCTTGGTCCATACTCTGTACCACCAGCCTCAATTGACAGTTTCCTCAAGCCGTCTTTTCTATACTTGAGCTTTCCCAGCTCTCCTTAAGTGGCCACTTCGTCATTAATTCAGATACCACCGCTGGTCTCACCTTGTGTTTCCTGTCTCGGTCTTGACTGTTCAGCCGCCACTATCACGACCTGGCAATCACATACAAATCCTTACCATTGGTCTTCAACTCGATTGGCGCTTCCCTATTCCTGTCTCTTCGACCCTTCAGCTCATCTCAACACCAGCCTCATACAGTTTGCTTTGCCGTTATCGACAGATCACGAGCAAAAATCGAATCATTTCCTGTACTACGTATCTGTACTACGACCTTGATCTACAACACCTCGACGACTGTTCCCAGGGCACGTCATTGTTTCCCAGTTCGTCCTAATAACCTTGCAAACCCAAAGGTTCACCCGCAAGCAACTTCCGCGCCGTGGGAACATCTAGACATCTGAAAAGCCCAACATTCCTGCCGCAGCTTCTGACACAAACCCTTGGCGAAGATCATTCTGGGTGCTAAGGTCAACCGTCGACCTGCACGCGACTTGCACGAAAGTTCAGACGACTTGAGACTGTTCCCGAGTCCCGGTACAACGCCTGTTACGCATTTCGGGGTAACCCACTTACACCCGAATCATTGCCTCGCGCTTTATCGAACACGCCTGGCCTCTTCAGCCCTCGTTTGTTGCTTACTTCTTTCGTGAGCCAACTCTGCATCTGTCTCGATACTTTGCCCTCAGCGTCAGTCAAAAGTGTCACGACGAACACTATTGCTTGGTTCGACAAGCCGGCGACTTGCCATTGGCCCTTGGACTTCAACCCACACTATCGACTTTACGAGTAGACTTTGGTCCTGATCTTATTCAGCCATTGGTCTCATATCGGACGAAAAGGTGGCAAGCTGAGTTAGCCGTCCTCCATCACTCAGCCAGCCTAGTATCGCGAACTCTCTTCACACGCGGAAACACTTTAAATCCATTACAATGGGCGGTCTAATACCCCTCCTCCTTAAGCCCGCTGCCGCCGGCTCCCGTGGCAGTGTTATTTTTCCTATCAACAGAGCACCATCGCCCAGCCCTCCCATTACAACACCACAGCCTGCGGCAACGTCACCAACCATGGCTACCAGTTCGGTCGGACCTCCTAAGGCTCGAGTGCACAAGCGGTCTGCATCGCAGCCAGCACCGCTCCCCGTTCTGCCTTATACCTCTGCTGAATGGAGCAAGGCTGTCTCTGAGGTCAAGCGTCAGTACATCAACCGCAAGTACCGCCCGTGTTCTTTGCGCTGTTGCGAGATCCTAGACAATATCAAGGAATCTGTAAGTTGCATTCATCCGAAGTGGCTTGAGACTGTACTGACTGAGTCAACAGGCAAACGTGGAGCCAGCTTATCTCATCTATCTTCACTTCTACGCCGCCAGCTCCTTTGACATGCTCTCCCGACCTTTGCAATGCGCCTCGCCGTATCGGACACGGCTTCTTCAACAAGCTCGTGAACACTACACTCGAGCCTCGGAACTGAGCAAGGCGGCGGATGAGACCATGGCCCGCTCGTCACGGCCATCCTCAGCGGCAACCTCAAGTATGCATTCGCCTTCGAGCTCTACTTCATCCCGCGCATCCTCGCGGACATGGACCAACTCAACTGCTTTCTCGTCACCCACGCCATCTGTGTGCTCCGTCGAGGACGCTGTGAACAAGCTCTCTGCGACCCAACCCCCACCAAAGAAGCGCGTCACCTTCTGCGACGTCCCCGAAGAGCCGTTCATCCGCCCCGACTCTCCCACTCTCGGCTTCGACGACTTCCTCTGTGCCCCACCACAACCCGAACCACCGCGCTACCTGCCGGTTCTCCAAGAGGAGCCCGAGCCTGCTGAAGAACCCGCGGAGGAGGTTGCGAAGCCAGCAACGCCCGAGCCCCTGAACGAGGACTGCGATGCCTTCGATTTCCTCCAAGAGCGCTCCATCCACCGCTACTGCGGCTTGCTCTCCAGCCTGCGCTCGCAGATCGCAGTCCACATTTCCAACATCGAGGAGCAGCTCGCGGCACCTCGGCAAAGCGATACGGCACGCCACTCTCTCCCCGCCAGGGCAGCGACCCCAGAGCTCAGCGACGAGCTGCGTAACCTTGACATCAAGGCCCGCATTGAGCGTTTGCGCCAGAACAACTGGCAACGACGTCGCTTCGATATCGGCCGTTACGAGGCGCTTCGCGAGAGCGTTCTCGCCGAGTTGGAATGAACCGTCACTTCCAGATGATTGATCACTCGTTTCCAAATATTTCGCATTTTCCTCTCCTGTTCTCAGTCTACAATGATACCACCGGCCTCCGATCTCTCTATCTTTCACTGTATCATGATTTTAAAGCAAACTTGTCCATTTATTCCACGGCGAAACAAAAAGCATCTAGGGGGAGGTCTCATCCCCCGTTCGGCAGCATCTCAGGGCAGGACGGCGCACTTTACTGGTGGTCTCTTTCAAATTTCCCTCTCGATATACCTTGTACAAGCACAACAACGACTCGTTACGAAACCAAAACAATACAATTAGTAGTAGTAGTAGTAGTATTAGTAAAGAGCACAGGGGTGGAAGGATCAGTGGGGAGTCTATCATGGCATCCCCAACCCTCTCCCCGACCTCAAGTAGCAGCAATGCCAAATAGCAAAGTTACATCTTGATCAAACATCATAGTACCTCGTCTAAAATCTTCCAACGTGCCGTGACTGACTACTAACGCTCTCTCCCTACGTTCGAATTTCCGCCTAGGCTAGAACTAAGTCATTGCAGCGGGTGCGTTTACCTGATCCCCTCATAGCTCAGATATGAAGCGGTGACCCAGTTGGAATACATCTCTCGGTGCACAAGCTGGGAATCGAGCGCGAGAATTTGGAGAAAGATTGCCGGTCGTCGAGTACCTTAGGCTATAGGCGTAACTTGATTACTGTCGACCTTGAACCAAATGCACCCATCCAGCCCAGTTTGACCTGACCGATCGACTTAGGAAGGCGCCTGCTGTGCTGATGACAGGACCGGTGTTGAAGGAAGTGAATTTTCTGTGTGTTAATATGAATACGTTACTTCTACCAAAGTCCAGCCTCGAATCCAGAGGTTGGCGGCTGGCGGCTGCAACACCAGCTGTGTGATTTGATGTTCAAGGTTCTGTTCAAGGTTCAAAAGAGCTATGTCATCGACTAGTCAGATCTCGTGTCATGGTTAAGCTTCACAAAGGTCAATCACTTATGCGCACGAATATATTCGATTGGAAGAAATGATGGGTGTTGCTCAAAGTCATCTCTGTCCCTGGCTTTTCTGTTCCCCCCGTCCGCTCCGGCAAAGCAACAAACATATAGCGCTCATCTAGCCATGTATCTTCGGCCTGAAACGAAATGAGTGCGCAACGAAAGGCAGTAAGAACTTAACAAAACTTCAAAGCGGCTGCTAAGCCGTGATCAGTGGCCCGCTGTATCATCCAACCCGTGTGGTATCATCTTCCCGAGCCCTGACTGACCCGCCCAGGTCACCCTACAGAGACGTACGTCGCTTCTCATCCCTGAAAGCTGCGTCTTCTGTGCTCCTTCTCCGCATCCTCCTTCACCTTGAGCGTGTCCTGCTGCTGCTTCATCTCGCGGACCTTGGCAAGGACGACCTCGCGGAAGATGGCGCCCTTGATCGTCTTGGAAAGGCTGCGCTTCTCGCCAGTGGCAACTTCGTGTGCGCCAACGTGCTTGGACTGGTCTGCGGCGCTGATAGCGTCGGCTGGGAAATCCGAATCCTCTGTGTCCTCCTCTTGTGCCTTGAGTGTCTCGATTCTGTTGGCAAGCTTGACCATCTCGATGCCGCGGCGAAGGCGAGCCTTGGCCATGTAGGCCTTGATCTCGGGCAGCAAGTTGTGGTCGGTGGCGTTCTCTCCGCTCAGCCACGGGTGGTGAAGAGCCTCCTGTTGCTGTTGTCAGTGCTGAGTCCTTGACATTGATGCAGGTCTGTTACATACCTCACTCGACCAGCGCTTGACAGGCTCTGGTTGCAGGAGATGCAAAATGAAGTCCTTTGCATCATCACTGACATCCTTCCAGTAACGCTCATGGAAGACGACCTGAGCATTACTGCACTCATCGATAAGATCCTGGAGGTTCTCTGAGCGGAAAGGAGAGTAACCGCAAAGCAGAGTGTATGTGATGACACCCATGGACCACATATCTACCGGCTTGCCATGACCCTTCTTCAACATGACCTCAGGAGCTGCGTAGCCGAAGGAACCGGCCATTGTTGTGAGGACTTCGTCTTTGCGGTCGAGCATCTTGGCGATACCGAAATCGGCCAAAACGAGATCGGACTCCATATCTCTAGTAAGGTACAGAAGGTTCTCGGGCTTCAAGTCTGGTCTACTAGTTAGCCGTATGTGGGCACCCAGGTTATAATGGTAAAACTTGCCTCTGTGTACGACGTTGTTCTGGTGCAAGTAGTTGACGGCTTCGAGAACCTGCTTGATGGTTTGTGAAGCATCCTTCTCTGTGAACTTGCCCTGCTCGCAAATACGATCGAACAGCTCTCCACCCGTAGCTAGTTCAGTGACGATATAGTACTTGTCCTGCGAGAGAATTGTCAGCTTTGACAGTCCAGACATAGCTTCGTAGCGGAAGGTTACTCACACGCGACTCAAACCAGTCAACGAACTTGACGATGTGGGGGTGCTTGAGACGCTGGAGCATGTCCAGCTCGTCGTAGACCATTCTCTCGTTGCCCTTCACATTCTTCTTGAGGATAATCTTGACGGCGCACTTGCCAGTAGGGCCGTCAGCCTCACGGACGATACCGTAAGTTCCAGCTCCGAGGGTGCGACCGAAGCGGTATTTAGCCCTGTAGAGAGGACGTCAGGATATGATATTTAGATATTGGTCTGGGATTATTCGTACTTCTTGTCGTAGCTCTCGGGTTGGCCCTGGAGCCTGCTGAGCATATTGGAGACTATAGGCGAGCGTGCGGTCAGCATTGCTTATGGATTGGGAGCAGTAAGACTAGAGGAGTGTTGCGCGAGGCAGTTACGTTCGCAATCACGACAGAACAGTATAGCGGCCTAGGAAGATCATAGAACATTAGGATGATCCAAGAACTTACAACTCATTTTTCAGGATGGGTTATCGCTCGCAGCGAGTGTGATGTGTGTGGAATGATCGGACAGACACAGCCTTGGGGATGATGGGATCGAGAGGAAGCGGGCGTCAGCGGTGGGAGTGCAGACGACGTTTATGAGGGAGAGCTTGAGGCCGGCGTAGGTCGGGAGTAGAAAAATCGAGCAGAAAGAAGGCTCGACCCTGGACAGGACAGAGAAGCAGCGGTTGCTGATGGAGACTTCCCAGGTAGACTGGACGGGATTCGGGAGGGGGGGTCGAGTCGGGGTGCTGGTAGCTCTTGGTGCTTGGGTTGAGGGGGAGGTGGGGTAAAGCGGGAAGTAAGAGCGTGCGAGGGTACTTTTTAGGTGAGCTTCACAAGCAAGAGGCACTCTTGGGATCAAGCACCTTGTAAACGTAAGTACAGTAGGATGAGAACAGGTACTTCTTGTCCCCAGGTTTGGGCGTGAATGGCTCTTAGTTAAAGATATTTGGGCTGCATCTATCTGTAGAGACCATCTGTAGAGACCATGTGCTGACATTATTACACAGCATGTCTCCTGGAGGCAACCTAACCTAACCTTCAGGCTGTACAGCTCCAGTATGTGCACAGAAAAACGAAAAAGGCGGTTCTGGCATCACAGGGAACAAGATTCAGGGGTCATGGCAGGCCGGAGTGAGCCTTGTGGGCTGGTAAGAATTGAAAAGGATGCTCAGCCGCAGAGAAATGAGGGGCAGGCCGCAGGAGAAGAGGGAGAGCACGGACATGGCCGTGAATGAGCAACGGCATCCACGAGCACTAACGATGACGGACAAGGGTCCTGAAGGTCTTGGAGTGGACCGCCGTATCCTGAACGATCAAAACGACTGGAGCAGTGGAGGCACACACCTGAAGATGAGGGAGCCGACATAGTGTGGCTGAGGAGGCCGCTCTTTCCACCTTGCATCTGCTGGCTGCTCTGTCACTCGCTTCCAGGCTCCAATTCAATGGGCTTGCTGGGTCGTAAGGCTGGACCTCCGATTCGATCTGCTTGCAACGGCATCTTTAGAGATAGATGATCCCATGTCTTTGACCTTAAGTGGACGTGACATGCTGGCTATGGTATTCAATTGGTCTACAGCTGCAGTGCCGATGGCTTCCTCCTGTCAATACCTGAGAATCCTCAGATCAGTGTTCAAGCGTTCCCCAACAAAGCCTGGTCTACAATTTACATTTATTCTCCTCGCCCGGTCCATGAAGTGTTTTCGCCAGCAGACGTCATTGACGACAAGTTGAGTGTTTGGGCCCGGCGTGGTTAAACGACGGCCCCCAAGTAGAGGAATGATTCAGGCTTAAAGAACTTTGTTGATTGGAGACCGTTGTGACCTTCCAGAAGCACATGAATATTTGGCAGACTCTGCCGCCATATCCTCAGAAATGCCACGTGACATATGACCGCGTCTAGACGGAAGTACATGTGCATCTATCATTGCAGTGTCTTGCTGTCTTTCATCTTGGTACAGATACCGATTTTTGAGGGCGAGAAAGAGTAATAGAGACAAAGTTTAAAGCAAGGTACCTGCCTAAGGCAAGGTAAGGTGAGGTAGGTACGAGAGGATGGCCGTTCTTGCTCTTCAGAGATGCAATGCTTTTTGGGTTGTCACTGGCATCAAATAAAGTGGGTCTATCGGCCCTGCGCGACTGGGTTACAGCACGCGCATTCGCATCGGTCCAAGATGCAATGAACCGCCGCCAATCCCTCCCCGCGGCATCATTTGGACCTTGAAAGTCTTAGGTAAGGCGCTTCAGCTTTCCAGGTTGCCCATTTTCTCTCCAATCTACCTTACCTACGTTACCTTACGTAGGTACTTCCTTCAGTAAGTAAGGTACCTTCCCACCTTAAACAATAAAGCATCTTTGGTGCAACGTGCTACGTACGGAGCCAAGTGCCACCGTCCACGCCTGTAACTCGTGGACCATCTCCATCACGCCCGTGTGTCTCGAACATTGTTGGACCGACCAAACAGATGTCGTTGCCGCATACTTGCCTCTTTCACTCTCATTATTGTGCACGTCTTTTCCTTGCCATCCTTGTTGATTTGCATCCGGCTTTCTTCTTATACCCCCAGGTTTAGACCCTGGAAATTGGCTTCCGCATCGGCTGCTTCCCACATTCCTAAACGCTTTTGGCTGCTGTTCTCGGCAGGAACCACCAATTCGTGGGGTCCTCCTCTCTGGACAGCCCCTCCAAGCGACCAACAAGCCCCTCAGCAAGCCGCCTCCTGCCTGCCTTGCCTGGGCCGTTTCTCGAGCCGCCGACTGACATCTTCTCCTTTGCTCAACTTCTTCCTTTCCCTTCCGTCGAGCCACTTTCGCCTGGATCTCATCCTCCTCCAGGCCACTTGATTGCCCTTCAAAATGGCTTCCAGCTTTGCTTCCAAGCGGCTGGCCAAAGAGTTGTCCAAGGTTTGTCACCTCACGCCCAGCTCGCTACATCACCCCGTCCCATAATCGATTCATTTGCACCTTGTCGCATCGCGCGCTCGCCCTCGCGCTTGCCTTGTGAACCTTTCTAACTCTCACAGCTCAACTCTGGCCTACCACCCGGTATCGAGCTCATTTCGGCCGACAATTTCGAGGAATGGATCATGGACATCAAAGTTTTGGACGATAACCCGCTGTACAAAGACCAGGTTTACAGGCTGAAATTCAAGTTCTCCCAACAATATCCCATAGGTATGCCTCCCTACACCTACCAGCCCCTCAGTAACTCCCCGAGTAACATGATCTGGTCTACAGAACCCCCAGAGGTCACCTTCGTCAAGACGACCGAGCGACCGATTCCCATGCACCCTCACATCTACTCCAATGGCATCATCTGTCTCGATCTGCTCGGCAGCCAAGGCTGGAGTCCCGTACAGAACGTCGAAAGCGTCTGCATGAGTATACAGAGCATGTTGACAGGCAACGAAAAGAACGAGCGGCCGGCGGGAGATGACGAGTTCGTTCGGAGCAATCGTTTGCGCCCTAGAGATATTGACTTCTACTATCACGATAACACCGTTTGAACAACACAAGACATTTGCGCGGCAGGGTTGGGTATGGCGTTGTATCGGATTTCGGCATACAGAAGGGGAATCCCAGGACAAGCAGAGCATTCAGGAGCTGGTGCTCTGCTGAGGAAGAGAAGATGGAGGTGACCAACACGGTTTTTGGCCCTCGTCAGCTTTCGTGGAGCGAGATCGCAAAGAGATCGGCCGGGAAAATTGTGTCACAAGCGGGATCGCATCCCCGTAGAGGACGGTATTTGACACCCATGTTGATGTTTGGTAGGATCAGCGGACCATACTTTTTTGGCCAAGGTATACACATCCTTGGTGGCCACTACTGCGCATCATGTTAGCACGTAGACCATATTCCAGAGCATTCACGCTGCAAGTCAGTAGAGCAAATCGTCGCGAATAGCGATCGCGAAGCAGTGTCTTTCGCAACTGGAAACATGTCCAGGTTGAGACATTCATCGACCTGACGGAATGTATGTAGCGCTGAGAGCGGGCCGGACACAGTGAATGGCCCACTGATCCGGCATGGAATTCCCCGAGAGAGCACCTGCACTGTGGTACCTAAATCACCCTGGCGGCGTAGCCCCGCTGACGCAGATGCTCTCTGTGCAAGATGTCCCGTGCTGTAGGTAGCCAATCTAATCTCTCAACCCGATAGCTCCAGACGTCAGGCGCTTTGCGACCACAGCTCTCCGTCCCTGTTCCATCTACCTACCTTACCTTATCCCGACCACGTCACCTCGCCCAGCAGCGGTCAGTCTGCGCTCCACGAAACACTCGGTGCCAGTTGCATGGAGATCTGAAAATGGCTCCTCGAGCTGGCTTCAATACGGACCAGATAAAGGACAAAGCGCGCAAGGACCTCCTTTACCTGCTCGAGGCTGTAAGTAAGGCATTTCGACCCGGCTGCCTGTCCTTCGTGAGCTAACCCCGGCGTTCCCAGGTCCGCGGAAAGAAGAACCTCATTCTTGAGCGCAGCTTAGCGGGCCCGATCAGTACCATCGTCAAAGTCGCTACTCTCCAGGAATACGGCGTAGACAAGTTCTTCTTCCTCGAGAACAAGAACGCCGACACCAGCCAGCGAAATGTCATCTTCATAGCCCGCGGCGAGTGTGCTCGCCATGCGTCAGCCATAGCAGGTCAGCACCCTTCACTATCCGAACCTCACATTTTCCCTCAGTTTCCATCGGATTTCTATGAAGCATCTTCAGCTTCCTCGAGCGATCATCGTCCGTGGTCTGCCGAGCAAGACGGTGCTTGATGGCAAGGCTTCTTGTAGCCAATGTCCGAGCTATTGGGTGAGCTGCGCTTCATGCTAACAACCTCTCAGAGCAGGTCCGTCGCTTACAGCGAGAGAGCCAGACTGGCCATGAATTCCACATCTTCTGGGTGCCCCGACGGACACTCGTCTCCGACAAGTTGCTCGAGGAGGCCGGCGTCTTGGGCGATGTGAACATCTCTGAACTGCCTTTATACTTCTTTCCACTTGAGAAGGATCTTCTTTCCCTCGAGCTAGATGAATCTTTCCGCGACCTGTATCTCTCGAAAGACGTCACACCGTCCTTCCTACTCGCCAAGGCTCTGATGGAGATCCAACAGAACCACGGCTTGTTTCCCCGAATCATCGGCAAAGGCGACAACGCAAAACGAGTTGCCGAGCTTCTGGCACGAATGCGACAAGAGATGCTTGCGGGCGAGGATACGAACGAGACGAATCGAGGTGGCCTGACGCCAAGCACACTGACCGAAAGTGTCATAATAATCGACCGCGAAGTGGACTTCGTCACTCCCTTGTTAACTCAATTGACCTACGAGGGACTCATTGACGAAGTGTTCGGCATCCAGAACAACCAAGCCGAAGTTGACACAACAGTTGTTGGGGCCCCTTCTCAATCCTCAGCGACGAGCGCGCAAGCCAGGAAACGCAAAATTCAACTAGATTCCTCTGACAAACTATATGAACAACTTCGCGACACAAATTTCGCCATTGTCGGCAGCTTGCTGAACAAAGTCGCCCGCCGACTTCAGAATTTACAGAAGGATTACGAAGGACGAAACAGCCACAAATCCATCGCTGAGCTCAAGGATTTTGTCAGTAAGCTGCCCGGATATCAAGCGGAGCAGCAAAGTCTACGCATACATACAGGCTTGGCAGAGGAGGTCATGAAGTACACACGGACGGACCAGTTCAAAGGTCTCTTGGAAGCTCAGCAGAATCTGGCTGCTGGCGCGGACCCTTCCTCACAATTCGAAGCCATCGAGGAATTGATTGCCCGCGACACACCGTTACCGGAAGTGCTGAGGCTGCTTTGCATTTACTCATGCATATCAGGCGGCATAAAACCGAAGGAATTCGACCAGTTTCGACGACTTATCCTCGAGGGCTACGGCTATCAGCACATCCTCACTCTCAATAACCTCGAGAAGCTTCAATTGTTCTTGTCGCGCTCTTCTCCGTTGGCAGAAATGATCCCGATGACTGGCTCTGGTGGCAACACAACAGGGACCAAGACGAACTACACATATCTCCGCAAACTTCTGCGTCTCATCGTCGATGAAGTTCAGGAAGATGATCCAAACGATATCGCCTATGTATACAGCGGGTATGCGCCACTGTCGATTCGTCTTGTGCAATGTGTGCTCCAAAAGCAGTATCTGCTCAAGGTCACCAGAGGCAATGGTGTGAGTGGTGCGACAGGAGCATCCGCAGCACAGGGTTGGCACGGGTTCGACGAGGCTGTAAAGCACGTCCGCGGGCAGACATTCTACGAGCTCCAAAAGGGCGAGGAGAAGGCCGTCAAAGCTCGAGCATTGCTTTCGGGAGGCACGGAGAAGCAAACGGTATTTGTGGTGTTTGTCGGAGGCATAACATTCACCGAGATCGCTGCTTTGCGCTTCATTGCAAAGCAGGAAGAAGGTATTTGCCCATGTTGAAACAATCTCGTAAGCATTGCCAAACTAATCAATATCATGTGTAGCTCGGAGAAACATCGTCATCTGCACGACATCGATCATCAGCGGCGACCGAATGATGGATGCGGCAATTGAGAAGGATTCGTTTGCAAGAGATAACGTCAAGCCGGTGAGCCCAACTGCATGAGAAAGGGCGCAGGGTCTGTGGTGGAAGACTGGTAGAGCTGAGAGACAGGGACGCCGTATTCGGCATGTGAAAGATACGACCAACATACAGATAATGAGCTTCTCGTGGAGAAGTGTTTTCCAACTAGAAGCAATCCTCATTGCTCGTCGTGAATAGTGGATGTTGCTAACCAGCAGTTTTGCCTCCGAGTCAGTGCCTTCCTGCAGTCCAGTGGTGTTGCCGGTTTTGGCTCGGGCCTGCAGTCAGCCCTTGCAGCACTGTGTCGGGTCGGGTGGCTTGCGAGTGACGGGAGCAAATGCCCATCACGTGACCCACCTTTTTGTCTCGAACGCTGGAGCTCCTCATGTCCAATGCCGAACCTAGCGATTTCAACGGGTCATGTATCGTATCTGACGACTTCCCTTTATGATCGGGTTACTTTTGATTTCTCAACATAATTATCTCAAACAATAGACTGAGTTGTTTGCGACTTACCTAGTGCCTTTTCAGCATACCGCGACTTGACCTGCATCGGGACGGCTCAATCAAGCACCGAAGACGGGACAGTGCCCTGCAGCCGGGGCAAGTGGCGTCTCCGCAGTCAAAAGGTAGGTACTCATTGCAACTGCCTCGTCTTATATCAACTCCTGCGGGCCTGAGAACTTAAATCAGCTGACCGGGCTTATACAGCGAGACTATCCAGGTCCACCTGAGATATCGTAACATGTTATCGACTCGGGACTAGACCCGCCATATTATACCCTGGCCGGGACTCAGACTGAGCAGAATTCATCATCACCGACCATCCGCCTCCACCAACATATATATCCATCTTTCACCCTCGAGTTCAACCCGTGTCGACGACTGAAATATGAGATCCAGTCCGCGGTCTCGGGTCAAGCAGGAACCGGGGTTTGGGAAGGGATCATTGATGGATTTTCCGGATCGGGGCTCACATATATCAGACTTCACGCCTCCGAGGGCCAGTGCGATGCTGAGTCGGATATCGACCTCTCATTTATCAGAATCAACCACGCCAACACCGTCAAGTCGAATCTCATCAGAAGCAGTTTCAGAAATTGCACCAGAAATCATCGTGTGGACAGAAGACATGGACATGGACCTGGATGACTTGAGCCAAGATGAGGCGGGACATCCTTCCGGCCCAGCATCGGAACCTGAGTAGGTGATACCCTACGGCATCTTTTCAAGATGATGTCCTGGCTTTATCAGATGAATGTTGGGAGGCTCGAGATCGGGTTTAGCTGACCATCGATCAGTTCACCAATAGCCGAGGACGCGGCTGCTCCATTAGAGACCCTCCGCATCCAGTCACACGACACCCCTCACGAATCTTTCGAGTCGCCGATGACCAATCTATCTGATCACGATCAGTCTGAGCTTTCATCGGTGCCGTCGTCGGTGTCTAGTAAGGCAACGACCCCTGTAGAATTGGACGGGCATACGGAAGAGTCTATACCAGCAGCAGAAACCCCTCCGATACGTGAGGCATTGCGACAGACCTTCAACGTGAAGCCGAAGTCGTCCATACCCCCGAATCTATCAAGCTATGAATATTCAAGGCAATGCATAGAAGCAGCCGAGTCATCGAGACTAAACCCGTATGCCCTGCACCAGGAAGAATATCTGATGCTGCGACAGCACATCAGCCATGTTCAAGTCACCACGTATCTGAATATCAGAAACGGCATCCTCCGGCTCTGGTACAATAATCCACGTGTTGCAGTGACAAGGAACGAGGCGGTCGGTTGTGCTGGTGCCAGATGGGTTGACGTCGCAAGCATATGTTACGATTGGCTGTTACGACGCGGGTATATCAACTTTGGCTGTGTAGAGTTTCCAGCGACGAACGATCGACGAGAAGAAGAAGAAGAAGAAGACGTAGAGGCAGAAGCCCCGCTGAACAAGAAGAGGATTGTGATCATCGGTGCTGGTATGTCCGGCTTGGGCTGCGCCAGACATTTGGACGGCTTGATACGGCAGTACGAGGATCGCTTCCGGGCGCTCGGAGAACCGGTGCCTGAAATTGTGGTACTTGAGGGACGTGGGCGAGTCGGTGGAAGGGTCTACTCGAGGGAGTTCAAAGCAAAACCGACGTTACCATTGCCCGACTTTGACGGGGAACGATTCACCGCCGAAATGGGCGGCATGATCATCACTGGCTTCGAACGCGGCAACCCGATGAACGTCCTCGTGCGTGCGCAATTGTGCCTCCCATACCGTGCCCTGAGATCGGAAACGACCATATACGATTCCAATGGCAAGCCGGTGGACTTTGCAAGGGACCAGCTCGTAGAGAGGCTCTACAATGATTGCTTGGATCGCGTCAGTGAATACAAGTTCAAGTCACAGCCCGCCAAGCTTATCGAGGGCAACCGAGACTTGATTGACGAGGCGCGAGACGCCGTGAGTGACGGCCACCGGACAATTCACCAAGCTGAGGAAGCGGTGGCGGCTCTACCACATGCACCACCTGTTTCGCAACAAAACGTTCCTGAACGAGTGAACCTGGTGCCGGTCTCGTCAGATAAGCTCACTGGCCGCGTCCACACTCAGCCTGGCACACCAGGTGTACTCAAGGCAACCGAGAAAGCCCAGGCAATGGGATGGACGTTGAAGACCGGCTTGGCAAACGACGCCAACATTGATTTGAACGAGGCTGTTGCTCTGCCAACGGCCACGCTCGGTTCCGTCATGGACGAGGCCATCCTCCAATACCGCAACATTGTCGATCTTACTGCCCAAGATCACCGTCTCATCAACTGGCACGTTGCGAACCTGGAATACAGTAACGCTACGAATCTTCATAACCTCAGTCTAGGAGGCTGGGATATTGACGCTGGCAACGAGTGGGAAGGCAAGCACACCATGATTGTTGGTGGCTACCAAAGCGTTCCTAGAGGCCTCATGCACTGTCCTACACCTCTCGACGTCCGCCCAAAATCAGCGGTCAAGAAGATTACGTACCAGCCACAGAACAACGGGCGTGCCTCCGTTGAGTGCGAGGACGGGACGTCCGTCGACGCAGACTATGTCGTGTCGACGATACCTTTGGGAGTCTTGAAACACGGCAATGTCACGTTCGACCCGCCATTGCCCGAATGGAAGACGGAGGCCGTCACTCGTATAGGATACGGAGTGCTCAACAAGCTTGTACTCGTTTATGATCAACCTTTCTGGGATACACAAAGACACATTTTTGGCGTTCTGCGAGACGCTCCGAACCGCCACAGCCTGAACCAAAGCGACTACGGCTCTTCACGGGGCCGCTTGTTTCAGTGGTTCAACGTCACGCAGACCACCGGTATGCCGTGCCTAGTGGCCCTGATGGCCGGCGACGCCGGGTTCGACACGGAGCACAGCAGTAACGAGGACCTCATCGCCGAGGCGACAGAGGTCCTGCGCAGCGTCTTCGGCTCCGGCGTGCCTTACCCGGCCGAGTCGGTTGTCACCCGCTGGGCCTCGGACAGGTTCGCCAGAGGAAGCTACTCCTCGGCTGGGCCGGAGATGCACCCAGACGATTACGACGCCATGTCGCGCCCCATCGGCAATCTCTTCTTCGCCGGCGAGCACACAATCGGCACACACCCGGCCACCGTCCATGGAGCCTACCTCTCGGGACTCCGCGCCGCGTCAGAGGTTCTCGAGTCGATGCTCGGCCCGATAGAGGTCCCGACACCCCTCGTCCGACGAAAAGGAAACAACGTGTCCAACAAGCGCAAAGAGATGGAGGGACCCAAGGACCCGGAACAAGCCCGCCTAGAGGCCTACGAGCTTTCCGCCTGGGAGCACACCAAATCCAAAATCGGCGAGCGGCCTGTACGCCCGTCGAAAGTAGCCGCCAACGCCTACCTCCTCTATAGCCGGGCTTTTTCCGAGGTCGCGCGCACGCGGTGCGAGGAGGAGCGCGCGGCAGCAACTAGCAGCGCCAACGGCAACGGCAGCAAGAAGAAGACGGCGCCGAACGAGGTGCGCGTCATGACGTCCAAGATGTGGCGGGCCGCCTCCGTGGAAGAAAAGAAGCCGTTCGAGGACGAGGCGGCCGCGCAGAAGACGGCGTACGCCGAGGCCGTGAAACAGTACGAGGAAACTTCGGCGCGGTGGGATAAAGAGTACGTCGAGACCATGAGCGCGTATCACCGGGAGCACCCGTACGTGCCTCTCCAGCAGAACGGAGGAGGGAGCGGCAGCGGCAGTGGGAATAGTTACAGTGCTGCTACGGCGCGGCAAAGGGAGATCAATGCGCAAAAGTACCGCAGGACGAAGCATGTCAGCTACGCCGAGAGTGACGGCAGCGAGATGGAGTTTTGACGGGGGCGTACTACTTGACGAGGCGCGGTGGTATAATGGGGTGTTCGTTTTTTCTCACCCTGGGGTTTTCTATTGATTGATGGGTTAGGCCGTTTGCTGTTCTTTCATAAACGGGTTTGCATGGAGGGCAAGGAAGGGTGCATTCGGAGGCTTGTCTGTGGTGATGGGTGTCTATTGTTATTTCATTTTATTTTCGTTCACGGTGTCGAGGAGTTCTGCATACCCCCTTCATACATGTCATATCTGCTCTCGTTGGAACCTTGAAAAGGTTGTAGTAGACCAACCTTTTCAAAAGTTCTGCACAGTAATTACTGTAGCTCCCGTACATAAGGCACCCTCGAAAAGAGGGTCCAAACAATAAATGGCAACACGTTTATCAAACGACACAGATTTCTCAGATCTCGGGTTTAAGATAGATGAAAATAACCGATCCATATTCTAGATCAGGATGTATTCGCGAGGATTTGGTACACTGAGGGCTAAACTAGCCGCCCTTGGTAGCTTGATACAAAGGGAAGAGAGGCAATAATCATCTCTATCTGATGCGCGCGCTTTTTTCCAAAACCCGCTTTACATGTCCTCGGAGGCAGTGGCACCAGTGATAATCTCAACCAGCTCTCCGGTAATGACGGCTTGACGGGTGCGGTTGAAGAGAATCTGGTACTTCTGGATCATCTCACCAGCGTTCTTGGAAGCGTTCTGTCATAGTGCGTCAGTCACAAGTAACTTCTTGGGGGTAGGTCATATCAAGGAGGGTGACGTACGTCCATGGCGTTTCTACGGGCAGAGATCTCGCAGGCGTGACCCTCAGCCAAAGCCCAGTAGATGGAGTTGGCAAGAGCGTACTCGCGGAGGTTGGGGATGAGCTCCTCATCGACCTCGAAGGCGGAGAAGTTGGCTTTGAATCCAATGTTAGTTTCAACTCGTTCAATATCTATCTCATCCATGTCGGGGCAAGCTTACGGGACTGGGTGATGGCCTCCTCGGAAAATGCCTCAATGGTGACAGGCTCGTAGCTGGTGGCGTTGATGAACTTGTTGTGGAGGATCTTGATGGAGGAGTAGTCGCCAGCGAGCTGAACGATCTGGTCGGCGATGGCAGAGGCATCAGCAAAGGTGGGGACGTCCTTGCCGACGCCGGCGAAGGAGAGACGGATGTCCTTGGCGTTGGTGCGCTGAAGCTGGGCCTTGCACTTCTCGCCGAGGATGACGAGGTCGGCGGTGGCGTTCTTCTCGGCGAACTCGCGACGGATGGTACGGGAGAGACCAGAGTGAATACCACCGCAGAGACCCTTGTCGGAGGAGCAGATGATGATGAGCTCTCTCTTGCCCTCGCCCTCGAGGGGCTTGGTCTCGGCGGAGTCGAAGACCTCGTTGGAGGTGGCGCCGTAGACGCGAGAGTCGGACATGGCCTTCTGGGCGCGGTTGAGCTTGGTCGAGGCGACAATCTTCATCGTCTTGGTGATCTTCTCGATGTTGCGAATGGACTTGAGACGGCCTTCGATTTCACGGAGGGTCGCGAAGTTGGCAGCATTGGTGGGCGCGCTGGCCGTAACTCTGGAAACGCCGCACAATCAGCATGACAGCTCTTATCTCTTTTCCTTTCTCTCTCTCTTGTGTTTTCAATTGATATCGTTCCCAGTATATCCCTCGAATCCCGTCCTCTTTCATCGTTGATGGCCGACCGTCGGCACTCGTCTGACGTGTTGTCCCTTTCCTCCGATTTTCCGAGCTCAGGAAGGTGTGGATTCCGACTTACCGCGAGGGAGCCGCAGCTGCAGCTCGCAGAGCTGGTCTCGCCGCCCGGGAAAGCATTGTGAAGTTTGAGATATTAAGAAGATCGAGCCTCTGCCGTTTGTGGGGAGCAATTGACCACGACCGCTTTCGAGATCAATTGAGGCTATCGGACGGTGCTTCGGGATAGCGAGATTGGTAGGTTCGAGGTTATTTTCCTCCCCGGCTAGCAGTCTTCGCACCCGACTCCATCCACCTCGTTTTCCCGGCTAACTGAGTTTGACCGGCAGCCGGGTGGCTCAAGAAGGTCACGTGCGTTAAGAAACTGTGGCGCAGGCTTTGGATTGGTTCGGCCTTTCCTCTGTCCTGGCAGCACCTGCCACCCGCTTACCTGTGCCTACCTACCCGGGCTTACCTAGACAGTTAGACTCCTAGGGGCAGCCCCATTAAGTTTCGCTCGCTGCTAGAAGGCCTTCGACGCCTTTCCCACCCCCGGCCTTCTTTTTTCGTTCCCTCGATCCCTCGAAAAAAAAACCTCGTCTTCCCTTTCGATTCGAAGAGACGTGGGTGCCCTTCCCTACGTCTTTCAACTCATCAAGTGGCGGTCTTTCCAACCATCCGGCTCTTGCCTCTATATCTACGCGATTCTTCCGCGCGGATCGGCTTCTACAACAACTTTTTCTGCTCCACCAAGCCCCGGTTTTGGACTTTGCGATTCAGTTCTTACTTAACCGTCCGTAAACGTCGCGAACCGAGACCTTTTCCAACCATGAGTTCCTCAGACGACGACGCACCTCTTGCGAGGTCGAACGGACATAGTAAGTACGCTAAGAAACATAAACTTTTGCGCTTTCGGACGCTTTACCCTTCGCGCCTGCCACTTTACGCCGGACGTGTCACTTTTTTCGCTCCTCTCGCCCCAGCGAACCCACCTGACTCGTCGCGTACTTCCTGCATCCCGGATTTGCCTACGAAACCACAGGAAAACTTGACAGCTTTCTAACCTGATCACCGACAGTTTCTGCATCGAGGATATCGAAAGCCGACGACATCGCCATGGACAGAACCGCCTCTAAGGCACGAGCGGCCCCGCCCGGTCTCTCTATCCGCAATGGACCCGTCGAGGATGACGATGCGATGGACGTCGATGGCCCATCGACGAACGGCAAGCGCAAGTCTCGTTCATCCTTGCCCAAGGTCAATTACAAGGACGAGACCGAAGATAGCGACGACGATGCTCCTTTGGTAGGTTACACATGGCAGGCAAATGGTGGTGGAGTCCGAGGCTGACAGCGACTCTAGGCCAAGCGACAAAAGACCAAGGTCAAGGCACCAGAAACGGATTCGGACGACGAACCTCTCACTTCGAAGAGGGGCAAGAACCTTCCCCCTTCGTACCGGGAGACAGCTTTGCCCGACGAATCCTCCGATGATGATCAGCCATTGGGCGCCAGGCTCGCGCAGAAGAAGGCGGACATTGAGAAGGCAGCCGCCAAGGAGGCTCGTAGCATTCGCGCCAGCGAGGCCAAGGCAAAGAAGGCAACCCCGAAGAAGGCGAAAAAGGAAGAGTCCTCCGACGACGATGTGCCTTTGGCCAGGTCGGGAGCAAAGAAGCGCCAATCGAACGGTGCCAGGAAGTCAAATGGAGTTAAATCCGAATCCGACTCCGATATGCCCATCGCGAGAAAGGCTGCAGCGAAGAAGGCCACCCCAGCCAAGGCTACGGCAGCAAAGGCCAAGGCTGCCGCAGCACCAGCCAAGAAGGGAGCAAAGGCTAAGGCGGAAAGCGAGGCTCCTGAAGACGAAGAGGAGGAAGAGTATGAATGGTGGAACGCCCCTAAGAAGGAGGACGACAGCGTCAAGTGGAAGACCTTGGAGCACAACGGCGTCATGTTCCCACCCGAATACCAGGCCCTCCCCAAGAACGTCAGACTGCTCTACGATGGCAAGCCGGTCAACCTGCCCGTCGAGGCTGAAGAAGTTGCCGGTTTCTTCGGAGCGATGCTGAACTCTAAGCACAACGTCGACAATCCCGTCTTCCAGAAGAACTTCTTCGACGATTTCAAAGCTGTCCTCAAGGAGTCAGGCCATGCAACCGACAAGCAAGGCAACAAGGTCGACATCAAGGACTTTATGAAGATGGACTTCGAGCCCATCTTCAATTACTACGAGCAACAGAGCGCCATCAGGAAGAACCGGACAGCTGCAGAGAAGAAGGCAATCAAGGCTGAGAAGGATGAGACGGAAGCTCCCTTCATGTACTGCAAGTGGGATGGCCGCAAGGAAAAGGTTGGCAACTTCCGCGTTGAGCCTCCAAGTCTGTTCCGCGGTCGTGGCGAGCACCCAAAGACTGGAAAGCTCAAGAAGCGAGTGTATCCTGAGCAGATTACCATCAACATTGGCAAGGACGCCAAGGTTCCGCAACCACCCAAGGGTCACAAGTGGAAGGCGGTTGTTCACGACAACAAGGCTACTTGGCTGGCTATGTGGCAGGAGAACATCAACGGTGCATACAAGTACGTGATGCTTGGCGCTGCCAGTGCAATCAAGGGTCAGAGCGACATGAAGAAATTTGAAAAGGCAAGAGAACTCAAGAAGCACATCGACAAGATTCGAAGGGATTACACGAAGGATCTCAAGAGCGAGGTCATGGCGGACCGACAAAGAGCCACGGCCGTGTACCTGATCGACAAGTTTGCTCTCAGAGCTGGCAACGAGAAGGACTCTGAGAACGAAGCCGAGACAGTCGGTTGCTGCTCCCTCAAGTATGAGCACATCACCCTGCGCGAGCCCAATACCGTCATCTTCGACTTCCTCGGAAAGGACAGTATTCGATTCTACGATGAGGTCACTGTTGAAAAGCAGGTCTTCAAGAACTTGAAACTCTTCAAGAAGTCGCCCAAGACTGACGGTGACGACATTTTTGACCGCCTGACCACTACGCAGCTGAACAACCATCTCAAGAACTACATGCCGGGCCTGACAGCGAAGGTGTTCCGTACCTACAACGCGTCCTTCACCATGTCCACTCTCCTTCAGAAGCTAGTCGATCACAAGAACCTGACGATTGCGGAGAAGGTGAAGCTGTATAACGACTGCAACCGTGAAGTAGCCATTCTTTGCAACCACAAGCGCACTGTCGGTGCTGCCCATGAGGCACAGATGGAGAAGCTCGGCGACCGCATCAAGGGCCTCCGGTATCAGCAATGGCGCCTGAAGCAGATGATGCTTCAGATCGACAACAAGGTGAAGAAGAAGAAGGGTGCCGAATACTTTGCTCGTCCCGAAGAGTTGACCGACGAGTGGATCCTTGAGCACCAAAAGTTCTTGGTGGAAGAGCAGCGCACCA